CCAGGTTTATTGCATATCTGGGGAGGAGTAACCACAGCCCACAGTACCAGTGCAGGCAGCTAACTCACCAGAGAGCAGCTTTGTCGACTAGTGGGGGATAGCCTGGCAGACAATCTGAGCACAAGTGGTATGCCCTCCTGGCAAAGGCAGCCAATTACTCACTGGGCTGTGCAGTTGAGCAAGCGTGTGGGCAGCAGATGGAGGGAAGTGTTTATTCCTTTCTACTGAATACCCACAAGACTGTACCTGGAGTAATAGCTTCAGTTTTGTGCTTCCAAGTACAAGACAGACATTGACCTACTGGAATGAGCCAGTGGTGCCCCACCAAGATCATTAAAGGGCTGATGTATATGCTGTACATCATACGTACAGCATATGTAGAGAAGATGGAGACAGGCTCTTCTGGAAGGCACATGTTGACAGGACAGGAGGTAACAGACATGAGTTACAAGAAGGGAAATTTCAATTAGTTGGAAGAAAAAATAATCATTATAAAGATAGTCAGACACTGGCAGATGTGCCAGGGCAAGACTGACTCACCTGGACAAGACCCTGAGCAATCTCATCTAATTGGACCTGCCTCAAGCAGGCAACTGGATCAAATAACCCCAGAGGTCCCTTTCCAGACAAATTATTCTATGACCTTGTTTAAAGAGCCAATCTCACCATTCAGATCTAAACATGACCAAGTATACAACAGCATGTGATACAGCAATGAAGTAAACTGCAAAAGCTTCTCACAGGTACCAAACTGAGGCAGCAGGTTTGCTGCATATGTGTTCCCCAAGCTGCAGCACAGGCAGACAAATTGGTTGTATTTGAACATGTTGATGTTTCATTGCTGAAGTTATTAGAGCACCTGCTTATTATGACTCCCAACAGGAAGGGAAAGATTTTTTTTCAAAAATCTCTGCTTATTCACTATTTCTACAGTTACCACCGCAGCCCTGACAGCAAGATCAGACTCCTCTCCCAAGTTCTAATTGAGAGGCTGCACAGGCAGGATTTGGAAACCCAAGAGCACCCTCCTGTGGCTAGATGTTGCTATGAGCTCTCCTTCCTTCAGTTAAGCTACGTACAGCACCAGAAAAATTCACGTTTTATTCACAGGTTTATTTCCCCACTGCACCACCAATTAGAAGCAGTAGTTTTGCCAAAAGTAATATTTCTGCTGCCACACAGTTCTTCCAACAGGCCCCGTTTAAGTTGTCCTCTTTCCACAAGCCTGCAGGTAGGTGATGGGCTCCACTGAAGGGCTGGGCAGGGGCAGCAGCAGCCAGAGCTAGAGAAGCCCAGGCAGCATGCTGCAGGAGCACAGCGCTGAGTCTCACCTGAGACACCTCCTGGTACTACTGATGGCGCCAAGCGGGACAGCCACCTTTACCACCTCTCACTTTTCTCCTACTTTTAAAGGACAGTCTTCCCTAAATTTAAGACAAAACTAGGATTTCTTGGTAGCAGATAAGGATTTTTTCTACTTTTTAAATAAATAGAGCTGCACTCTCTGTCCACAGGTCCCCCAACCACTGCAATGTGCACCCTGCTGCATGGCAAAGGAAAGACCCCCCGCTGTAGAAGCCTCACTCACCCCAGCTAACCTGCACTCACACCCTGCCAGTCCATCTCCTTTCTCCTTCTAGAGGGTAAGCTTTCAGAACAGACATGGGCCCTTCACATGCTATATTCACCCTGGCACACCATTTTAAACTATAAAAAAAAGCACTGTAAACTGCATTAGAAGTAAATAAAAAGAACGGTCTGCTTCCACTTTCATGTTGAAGCCGTTCAAAAGGCTGGTACCAAAGAGATGGGCACACAACACAGGTCTGAACATACTCTATGATCAGCTCCAATTCCTCAAGCCTTTTGAAAAGCACACTTTTTACAGCCCATAAGGCCCAGGGATGCTACTTACACTTGCCACCGAGTGTAAAATATTTTGTTCAGTATACCAAATGGCCCAGTGGAAAACATGTGGCTTTACTACACCTACTGATGTTATGTCTGCAGTTCACACATGAAGCAAATACCTCTGAAATCAGTTTAAGACGTAGAAGCTATTGCCTCATACTTCATGTACCACTCATCCAGGTAACATTAGTCTCTTTCTCCCCTATTGCCAAGTTTATCCATGAACCCGTGAAAAGAAACGGCTGGTGATCACCTTTACTCTCACACATCTCACCACCGCTTCACTCACAAACCTGCTACGTGCCACAAATTCCCAAAGTGACCTGCCCACCTGGATCCCTCACCACAGCATCTGTAAGTCTGCGGACAGATTCATCCCAAGTGCCCTTCTCCCCTTCTTGCTCCCCCAAAGCCTCATGTGGCCCAGTTGCCTCTGGCAGAGGGAAAGTGGGGAATAACAGAAAAGCCAGAGTTGCCCTGTGACGAAGAACGTGCAGGCACATGGAGCCCTGTGAAAAGAAACCCTGTGACAGCAGACACCCAGCAAGTGCACTGGCCTCAGCCCACCGCTGGCCTATTCGGAGCAATGCCCTGTTCGGTGTTTTGCAACTTCTGCCAATAATCTCCAACACCCACAAGGCTCAAAATATACATATAGAAAGCCTATACTTTAGTGTAACAGATTAAGACATTTATCCATATTTGTTCTAAAAAACCTCAAGGGAAAAAAAAAAGATAGACAACAAACCGCTCAAGTGCAGCTTTGCTCACCCTCAGTGGCAGCCATAAATGCCAGCAGGCACTAGGTAAAACTAGATATTTGCATTAGGAAACAAATGGAATAAAGTATCATTCCCTCAGAACTAGAGCTACTTAATCCTTTTTAATCCTTCCTTTGCCTAGAAAAAGAGGGGAATAATTTAATTTCTGTATGAAATCAGGAAACCCTACACTCTGGGTCCCACCATACTGTGTAGGTTATTTTACTTAGGTCTGTGAAAATGTAGCAACTTTCACCCACACCCTCTAGTCCTCTAGCACTCACTGCTAGAAAGTCAGTTTTCAGAATCATGTGCCAGATAAAGGGTTTTTTTCAGATAACATGTGATGTGGAAAAACAGCAGCATTAAGTGGTTTGTTGGATTACTGACAATAAAACATACCTAAAAGCAATCCCAGGTAGCACAGCAGGAGCTCAGTTCCTCTTCAAAAAGAGGCATCAAACAAATGCCTTGGTATTTATGTAACTAGCTCAGTTGAAATTCACTGGTAGACCAGTACATTTTCAGATTAACAGCTCAACAGTTCTACAACAAAATTATTTCTGTGGATAGTCACCTTCAATTACAAATGCAATATACAGTGTTCACTATGTAACCAGTAAAAAATGTTCTTCAATATGTTTTTAGGCTTCAGAAACCATTATATATCACAGAGGAAGGGAAATTAAAAAGCCCATTTGCTCTCCTTGGACGAAAGTTTCATCAAAACTCATTAAAACTTCAAGTAACCTTTACTAAGCAAATGTCAAACTTAAATCAGTTGGATTAAGAGGTATGGTGCTTTTTCCTACGAACCTCAACTCTTTAAGTTATCAAACTACCAAGCAAATCACTTTTTAAACAAAAAAAGACAAGAAAAAAATCTGAAATGAGTAAAAGGTCACATTGTTACTTATTTCTGTTTAATTTTAACCACTTAAATAATTTTTAAATAACCCACTCAGTCATAACCGAGCAGAGACAGCTGTTTCTAGCCCTGACACTGTAAATAAAGCATTGCTGACAGTAAAAGACAATGGGAATATAGGCACAAGGAAGACAGAACTGCTTAAAGTTTACATTCCATTATTTGGTGTTGCAAGCCAGTGAGAATGACTACAAAATAGAATTAAAGACAATCAGAAAAACAAAATCACTTGATACCAAGTCCAGAAAAAAAAAATGCTTTGAAAACACAAAAGGAAAAGGTGCTTTGCAAAATACTGGTATCAGATAAAAAAAGGTAAACTTCCCAAAGTGTGAAATTTTGCCCCTAAATCTGAAAAGGGAGATCCAGAAGATGAATCATTAAACGAGAGTCTATTTAACTTTAGAAGGAATTATTTTATTGCTACCAGAAAGCACTCAAGATAGTATTAATCTATGGTAGTGCTTTGCAGAGCTAACTCCAGTTTAATTAACTGCATGTGTTAACAAATGTACAAGGAAAGACTCTCCTTTTGTACCTGTAATATTCTTCTTTACCTTGCATTTTTTCAGTTGACCCCTTACTAACTTGAGAATTGCAGTGGACCAAACTAGTATCAATGTAAGTTTCTACGATTCTGAATCACTTCAATTAAAAACATTTTAGAAGTTGACTCTGAGGAACTTCTGTGTCTCTAGCTGGTGTAACTTCGTTAATGCAATACCCCAACTAATTTAAAATAAAATTACCATGAGTTCATTAAAATTCCTTCCAAACTATTGAGTTGAAAATACTGCAATGCTGGTTTGCACCTAACATTTCTTCTTCCTTAAGCAAATTAAAGAACATAGATTTCAAAACTCAAACTGAAGACTGGAAGCTCTCACCACATTTCTTACTAATTCCCAAACAACAATTTTGAGGCTGCTCCTGTTAAAGACAGGAACAAGCCAGAAAATTTCACAAGGATGCAGGCATTCTGCTTGAACATCAAGTGTTGTTGGGAATTTCTTATCTAGCATTCTGAACAATACTGAAAGTTACTCCTGTACTTTTCATAGTTTGCACCAGTCAGTGCTTGTAGATGAGGAACATGAGACTGAAGAGATGGATTGCTGTATCATCTAATATTTCACTTGTCTAGCTTGGGGGAAGGAAAAATGAAGATATCATTGAGACATCCAGCAGTGAGGTGAATTCAACTCCCTTCAAAAAAAATGGTTTCTGAAATAAGACTTTAAAGCATCTTTTCCTCAATGAAAGTTAGAAGTGGTGAGTGAAAAATAAAAAAAAAGAAAATCATGCACCAGATTTTAACACATCAAGAAAAGGTAATGCAAACATTCTCTATAGAAATGATCATGCAATCATTTCTAAAAATGGTTACAAAAAGTAGCAAATCATGAAATATGTAGTTGACAGGACAACTTCATGCAGAATGGGTTTGTAAAGTACATACCCAGATAGGATCTCTTGGGAGGTGCTTTGATTTCTTCATCCTTACTATCTGCAGCTACATAAAAAAGAGTTGAGGAGAAGGGGAGAAAAAAAAAAAAAAGGAAGGAAAGACAAACAGACTTGTATGATTAAATGCAACAGTGGGTCTTTTAGTTACAGTTTAGTCAGTTAGTACATTTTGCTTATAGAAAAAATAATATCCAAAACAAAACATGCCAGAAATTTTAGTCTCCATGCTTTCTATAAGGCTCTCACCCAATGTTAAGAGAGGGTGGAGCAGTACCAAGTCCCAGCACAGTCTCAATGCACCACCCAACAGCAATGTACCTGGAGTGACAAAATGATCGCTTAATAACAGTGAAACAGCTTAACTCTAAATACTTTACACAAACAGACAAAACAAGTTGTCACCTCAGCAACACAGAGTGGGAAGATGCGTGTATAATCAGCTAAGACAACACAAGTTACCCTGCCTCCTGGGGAAAACTGTGTTCCAAAATAGCTTCAAAAAGTCTGAGCTGAAGCCAATCGTATCAAGGACAAAGTAGACCCCATCTGCAACCATTCTGCACACAAGATTTTTTCACTCTAGCCTTCCTCTGCCAATTCAAAACCACCTGTTATACAAGAGTGCTTTCCAGTGCCAAAACCAGAGCTCTTCAAGGGATCAGAGGGCTATAATAAGGTACAAATTATAAAGCAGGTTAAGACGACCAGCAGTTGGAAGACAAAATTGAATGACCAGAGGAAATTGTCTTCATGTAAAAAAAAAACAAAACCAAAAAAACAAACCCAAAACCAAACCCAAAGCCCATGTTCTACTTCAGGAGCCTGAGCTGTACTATAGGACCGTTTTTAACAAACACGGTCCAATGGTTTTAATTATAGTTCTACACTCAGGGTGCTCAAAATTTGTCACAATGTTTTGGGCATAACTGAAACTGTTTCTTTGTGGGAGAGAGGTGGAAGGCTCATCTGGGAAAAGAAAAATAGGATTCTTCATAGAATGCTCATCTCTCCAAGAGTATGAAGAGACTACTCTGGCCTGCCAACATTTTCAGGAGTGACCAGATGATTTCAGCTGTCTATCTGTGAGCACCTTGCTTCAGTCTCCTCTTGATTCTCAAGTCAAGACATGGCCCATGCGCATTTTGCTTTTCAACACTTCTGTCTCTAGCGTGGTAGTACCATCATGACCCAGAAATACCACAACCTGAACAAAACCAACTGTAACAAAAAGAACTACCACTGAACTTCGAACCTTTCTGTACTGAGCCAACAACACAGCTGCACAGATACCACCCTTAAAAGTGGGCAATGAATAAGGAGAACTATTGTTACCATAACAATGGTACTAGATCTACATTAAAGCAGTCAAGATGCAAGTAAAGTGATATTAAATAAAGGATAAAAGATGAGGAGGTATTGTTCACGCCTGCCGATTTCATCTGAAGACACCTTCACTTAGCTTCCAAAGTATTCATAAATAGTATTCAGGGGTTTTTGTTTGTTTTCTTGTTTTGGTTTGTTTTCTCTTCCAATTCAGAATAGTTAAAAACAGGCTATATAGTCCAAATTCAGAAAGTAATAGAACAGTTGGCTATATAAAGAGGACTTATTCTGTCTTCAATCATTACACGTAATTGAAGAAAAATCTTATGCAGTCAGAACAAAAAGTTAGGGAAGGGAGCAGCAGCACAAGATGGGCTCTGCCACTTTCGACTTACTTTCACACTGCAAGACTAAAAGGAAGTGGGGTAAGACCCATAACTGAGAAATAACTGAGAGAAAAAATAGAAGATTATGCAGGTTTTCCTAGTAAGTTATCTATATAAAGCATACAAGAAATAATCAAACATTACTGGAAAGAGTTGAGAAAGACTATTTTTCATGCTATGATAGTTAAGCTGTGACAGTATAAGCGTTTCAATTGAACAGCTTTATGGCCATGTTCTGAATTGCTGTTGATATATATTTTAACCCAGTAATACTAGAAAACAGGCTAGAGAATACACAGCAAGCTTGTCAGGATTAGAAGAGACTAATTGTAAGTAGATTCCTTCTGAACTAGGTATTAGTTAAGGGACCTTATCTATGAAAATAACAAAAACCAAAAGGAAAAAAGGCAACTCCCAAATAATTCAAAACACAGTGGCAAATGTATACTGAAGTGACTAGGGAAAAATACCATATTTTATAGTAATACAAGAAAACCATAGACTCCCTTCCATTGAAATACTCTATTCCATCCACTTTCTAAATATCTTGGATTATTTTGCAGGAACATTCAGAGGATAGAAGGACATAAATTAAAGAAGAAAAATGTTTAAATTTAAGACCAGATATGTGAGAAATAATAAATTATATTATCACACAAATTGTGCACCTTCCCCTCAGGACTCAAAGTTAATCAAAAACACTGACTTCAAACCTAGCTTCTCACTGTCACAGTCAGTTATCAGGAAAGTAAGTTCGTACACCGATTTATCAGCTTGTCTAGATCACCATAAAACTTGAAATAAGATTAGGTGTAGGATTAGAAACATGGATCTCACTCCTACTCCTACTGTGCTTGAAATAGAAACCTATGTTTCTACCTTGCTTGAAGAGTCTTAAATGCATTTATGTTTATTTTGAGCCACTGCACTATAGTTGGCCTTACTAAAAATCACAGGTAAGAAAAACATTTTAGCACTTCTCAAAGTTTGTGGGAGGATGCAAGCTTTTTGAGGAAAACAAAATTAAGGCCCACAAGTAGGTAAAAATCAATCTCTAGCTAACTAAATACATGGCAAGGTGAGTTTCAGGCAAAAAGGAACAAATTACACAATGCAACCTTGAAGAGATTCCATTACTTGGTAAGGGAAGCCTAATCACCTTTTATGAGAATGTATGTGTTTCAGGAAGAACTGTTTTAAAGAGTGCTGTATACTAAACTGAACAGCCTCCCCTTTTGTCCAAAGGTTAACAAGGGACCCTGCAAGAGTTAATGTGCACACGGAAAATTTCTCCTCAGAAAAGGCAAACAGAGAAACCTTTCTGCCACTGCACAAAGCACTAGCACAGAGTGCAAAGGAGGGAGACAGCGTCCATGCCCCTTCCAAATGCTCTCTGGATTTTAACTGCTGCTAAATCTGGCTGAAAGTAGGTTTTAATACGCTCATCCTGCCAGACTAACAACCCTTGTTGAACACAACAGCTTGTGTTTGGGAGTTGGAGGAAAGCTCTTCTTCCACACGAATTCACTTACCTGAATAGTTCCACACTATGCTCCACAATGAGCAGGAATGGAAGTAGCTTCCTCAGCTATAACATAAACTAACCTACTGCACAGCCAGTAGCTGTTGCCTTCTAATGATGGCTGTGGAACTCTGATCAGACTGCCAATTATTAGGAAGTGAGGGAAGACAACAGATGGACAGGATAAATTATACAACCATATTGGCAAAACAACTGACAAAAAGCTGAGAGCAATAATTCTGATTATAAATTTTGATTATATTAATCAAAGTTAAAAATGTGAAAGTTTCCATATATCATAACTAATCCCTCACTAAAGCCCAAGGAAATGGTTTACAAAAAGACAGTTTTTCAACTATGTTATGGAAGCAACTTCTACTTTGACAGCAAATAACTCAGTAAGTAGAAAATAAATTATGTACAAAAGTGTTTGCAACTGCAAAACAACATTTTGGATAACTGTGTACAATCATACATAAGAACTTGGTAGAAAGTACAGCTGAAGAAGATACCTTTTTATTCTGGAGAAGATCTTAAAAAACAAACAAACAAACAAACAGGCTAGTACAAAGGCATAACAGCCAGCTCTATATTCAAGGCATGGTGTGAAACACTAAGGGGAACTCTGATTTCTAGACTGAACCAAGACTTGTCTGGAATAAAACTACAGATTTACACATTTATCTGGAAAAAAGCAGTTTCAAAGACGTAGTTCAGGAAGTGTTACACTGAATTATCAAGAAAGGAGACTGAATTCAGACAGAACTTTTGTCTAAAATATAGCAAACCATGCTTTCAGAAAGGCTTATCCTGTGAAAGCCAGTTCCTGCCACTAACCTGCAAAAGAGCGGCGTTTTACGTTTAGCTCATTGGAGACACGTACTTCAGTGCACAGTTTCAGCATCAGTAACATAGTGATGATCATGATAATGCTCTGCCACAGAAGAGGAGATTCAAAACGTCTTCCAAACCTAAAAAAAAGGAAAAGAAAACACATAAAACATCTCAAAGATGGCAAGCGTACTCACTTTCATTCCTTGATCCTGTCTAAGCACCTGAAAAAGGAAATCCTACCAGTAACAGGTATGAAAGGCTGAGGAAGAGGAAGTCACCAGTGACAGAATAAAGAGGGGGAATGTGTCTTCACAGCAGGGAGTAGTGGAGAAACACCTTGTGGAGAGGTACAATCACCGGTGCTCCAAGGTGATAGTCTGGCCACTTTACATACAAAAAGAACCAAACAAGAAGAACCTGAGGACTTGAATGAATTTAAACAAACCCAGATATCTACCTCAACGAATTTGCACAGCCTAAACTTCTGAACTTTAGGAACTAGTACGCATGCTTAATGAACTTACACATAGTAACTTCTCCTCCCAGGGGAGGCATAAAATGGAGTTAATGAGACACAGGATGTATGATGAGAAGGGGGGTACATGCTGAGAGGGATATGGAGTAGGCGTACCGGGCAGTCTGTACACTCCCAGTACCTCAGCCAATGGGGAAAGGAGGAGGGAAATTTGCGGCCAGGAAATTAGGATAAAAAGGGGGCTGTGTCCCCCAGAAAAACTGAGAGACCTCACGGGATATGCCCGTGGACTCTCCCTTTATTCAAATAAAGTATACTTTACAGGACTGCTTTGTCTCCTATTGGAACATCGACCTCTGGCAACGGCATTTTCCGCACACAAGCCAAATCCAGATGCACGTACAGTAGCTCAGAGCTATAATTCCCTTGCAGGAGTTTCCAAAAGCCTTATTATAACAACCTTTGCAAATAGAATTTCTTATGCTCGGGCTACTTCATGGTAGAGCTCCACGTTGGTGAGACCCAAGTAGGCTTACTATCATGCTCTCTCACAAAATACTGCATTTCTACTACAGCCATTTCACCACAGACTTTTTTGTTATGAGTCAACTAATAAGGAACAGGAGAGAGACTGGAAAATCCTTGACTAGCTTCCCCGGAAATCTTGTGCAGAACAGCCAAGTAGCCCACACCAGTGAAAATGGCCAAGTATTTCCTGCCTCATGGCATACAGCTAAGGAACAGTAACAATACCTCGAGCGTCCACACCACTAACAAAGACATCACCAGCTGCTACTGGAAAAACAGTAGTTCCATGTATCTTAATCCCTCCCTTCTTTCTACCATCGATGGACTTGTGGTGGGCTACATGAGAGCCATTATCTTAACAAATCTGAAGGATGCTATGAGGAAGGAAAGGAAGAACACAACTGATGCATGCAATCGCAGGCAGAGCACGCTGCAGATAAGGCTTGCACTACACCAGGAAAAAGTGCAGGTGAGCAGAAGTTTGGCCCAGCCTATGCTTCATACCCATGATCCCAAAGCTCATTCAGCCTGTGTTGCTGACTGTGGCCAAGTTCCTCTGAACTACTAGAATTCACTTTTATATTTGTCTCTTATTCAAGAAAGGAGAGGAAAAAAGGGAAAGACAAAATTACAGAGCAGTTAAAACTGTATACATCATGTTTAGAAAAAACAGCCCCAATTACAAATGCATTTGCATGTAAAAATATAGTAATGCATTTAAGAGAGGCTGAGCTAGAAGCACAATAAGCTAGAAGCTATAATGATGATAAATCCAGTCACTGCAAGGTTATTTTCTCCCTGCTGATGAGATTACTGGCCATTCAGTAATGGATGCCTCACAAAAGTATTGCTTGTTGTATAGACATTCACCAACTACAAACACACATAAACTGACCACCAGCTATCTGATCATAACAATTTGTTATCACCACAGGGTTACTGGAAATGAGACTGGAAATACTACTGCAGATCCTCTACCTCTTAAAAAACTGAAGAAAAAAAAAGAAAGTAAAAGAAGACTCATAACACACAAAAGAAGTTAACTGGAAACTTAAAAATTCTTACAGGGACTTCAAATGACAATGCACAACACCTGTAGAATTTTTTACAACCCTCAAGTCAAAGACAGCAACTGTCACACAACAGAACATACTCAAGTGAAACATCTCACCAAGCACCAGTCCCCAAACTGAGTCTCGCAGGGGACACAGCGCTCTAAGCTAGGTCACACCTACAGGAAACCAAAGAGCCGCCAAGGAGACCAGTAGGCAGAGCAAACAGGACACGGCCGAACAAGACTGCAGTGAATACTAGTGTAAAGGATCACTATAGGGTTCTTGAAGCTCTAAAAGTAAAGCCAGAACACTCATTTTGCTCAGGACCTCGGAAACAAACCCCACTCTACGCTGCTTGCTGCACGCGATGCTGCTGTTGGGCCAGCCAGCGCCAGGCTAGTTCAGTGTAAGACTCCCCAAGCCAGCGTGCTCGAGGAGCAGCGGGAGGTGCAGGCCCCGCAGGGAGCGTGCTTGTCGTGTTCCACTTGCTTTCTGCCTCCCAGACACTACTCCTGCCTTTGCCTAAGCAGGAGCAGGGAGGGGAGGAACATTACAAGAGATTACCAGAGAAAGTTGAAGCCTTAGGCTACTAGAAGAGGCTTGCGAAAAAAAGACAGCTTTGACTCCTGGGGATGAGAGGAGTCACGATCATTCTTCTGCATGTTCACCCCACAACTGCAACCTTAGGTGACAAAGCAAAGAAAAGGGACATCTGTGGTATTCAGGGAACTCAGACTTTCCATGTCAAACTACAAAGATTCAAAGAGGGTTTCACTGTTTACTTAATACTGTAAAAACAAAATAACTCTTTTCCTGTACTAGTCAAACATGCAAATAAAGGTGGGGAGTGCCTTACATTTTGTTAATATTGTAACAGCCTTAAAACAATGCATGAGTGTTCAGGGTGATAAAGACAAGAGAAAGGAATGTTCAAGCCAGAGCACAGACTAACTAGTCATTGAGAAAACTATGCAATTCCATCCATACGACTCAATCCTGTTGGAATAATCCCGCAGTTCCAGTCCTGAGCCTACACAGAGCAAAAACCAATTGTGCAGAGGAAGCACAAACTAGGCCAAACACAGCAGGTTTGCTTATCTCTTTTCCCAAGACATCTCTGAAAAGAAACTGGCTGCTGTTGGTGCAACCAGTTCACCATCACTCTGACCACAGTGTTTCCTCCTAAACTCCTGGACACCATTTGGCTTCCACCTGCTGGCTGCTGTCCTAGCAGTGTCCCATGTGGGGCACTGCCTTTGGCCTGTCTTCTGTCCATACATGGCACCATCTTAGCTCACGGAGGCAGTTCCACTCACCATAAGACTGAAAACCACCAACATTACTACAAGCTTCATTGCTCTGGGTCAACTTTTCTGGCTCTTTGGGAAGTTACAGATTCTAGGCGACATGGAAAGCAAGCAGGATACTGTACATACCACCAGGGCCACGACAGATATCCCAAGGCAGCAGCATGGCAGCTACCTTGAAAGACAGCCACCACAATTACAGAATTTAATCAGCAGAAAGAACAGGAAATAAACTAGTTTTACTACAGGATCTCTTGATAGGAGTTTCTCCTTGACAGATAAGCTTCCAGGAACTTTATGAAGTACCCAAAGCAAGCTTCTTGCTTGAGCATACTGAATCCTACTACCTTTACTTTTTGTACAAGAGAGCAGAGCATTTTATCCTTACTCTCTGACACTTACAAAAAGGAGGAGGAATTGTGTAGCTTTTTTGCTCTCAATATCTGAGCAAGATCCCACCAGCAGGCCATGCGTAACACAAGCTTTCAAAGTTGCAGTCACTCTGTCAACTTCGTTTATAGCACCATTCCACCCTCCCCACACGGTAAAAGCTGTCAAGATTCATTTTGGTCACAGAATTCTAAAAGCAAAAGTTTCTCTTTCCCACAGGAAGCCCTACAGACACCACCGGCCCACTATATGAAGCTAAAGCAACATCAGGAACCTGATCCACAAGTAGCACTGTAGGTGGTACAGCAAAGGAAACAAATATGTAGGAACCTACCCTACACAAGAGCAAGTCCAACATTTTCCTATGAAGTACCTCCAGCTGCATATGTGTCTCAGTAAACATCTACTCCTAACAGGGAGCTCATTCCACTGACTCTGGCACAGAGAGCTCCCAGTTCTACTGACATAGCAGTTTTCAGAACCCACTTTGTTCCAGATGAACTAATGTGAAGTGGCATCCTGGTTTTGGCTGGGATAGGGCTAATTTTTCTTCTTAGTAGCTAGAATAGCGCTTTTGGATTCAGTATGGGATTTGGTATGAGAAGAATGCTGGTAAGTGGCAGTGCAGAGACAAACCCTTCTGTGCTGCTGAATTACGGCAAGATGATGCTGCTCAGGTAGAGAGCCTGGTTGTGAAAGTACATCATGCAGATGCCCATGTACCCAGGAGTCGGGCCACTGAAGAACAACAGGTGGGTCAGGCTGCTAAGATTAACATGGCTCAGGTAGATCTGGACTGGCAAAACAATGGTGAAAAACGTACAGCTTAGTTGGGGCCATCACACCTCGTGCCATCAAGGAAGGGATGCAAAAATATAGATGGGCTCAGGATCAAGGGGTAGACTTGACTGTGGACACTGTTGCACATGTTATCCATGCTTGATCCTGACATGTTCTGCATTCAAGTGAAACAGTTAGAAACTTTGACATGGATGATGACAGTTAAAATATAAACATGGGGAGGCCAGCAAATTGACTGTCACACTCCCAGAAACCCCACACGGCAAGCATCATGTGCTTACAGTGGTGGAAGCAACCACCAGAGGGTTGGAAAAGTGTGCCGTGGCCCACAGCCCATGGAACAATATACTGATGTTTTTAATTGTTGCTGAGAAATCAAGGACTTTTCTATGTCCCACGTCTTACTAGCGTGCAAGTGCACCAGAGCTGGGAGAGAGCACAGCCAGACCAACAGACCCAAACTGATCAATGGAATATTCCATATGATATGACATCATGCTCAGCATACAAATGAGGTCTGGCCAAAAGGCTGGCTTACTCTCTTCCAGGACTGTGTTTCAGGATTTTCTCTCCTCCAAGAC